CATATAGATATCACAAAATGGTTTCTAACTTGTTCATTTGTGGAGAAATAGACAAATTTCAACAGGTCACTTTTCAAGGTTTTTTGTCCACAAAAGTGTCAATTATTATTCGATTTTCATGACATTTTAACTGTGTGATACCTAATGCCATTTACGATTTCATACAAGTAATTTAAGATTTTCATTATCACCGGAAATGACGTCATTTTGGCAAAAACTGTATTTTTAGCCTTCAAAACAGATATTTTATTCAAATGAGTCTGATTTGTAATGTTTTTAAAATTATGATATTTGATTCCAATCAGCAAATAGATTGAACCCATACGATCATACAGATACCAGAAAATGGTTTCTAACTTGTACGGTTGCAGAGAAATAGACGATTTTCTACAAGTCACTTTTCAAGGTTTTTGGTCTATAAAAGTGGCAATTATTATTCGATTTACATAAAATTTTCACCATGTGATGCTTTATGTCATTTCTGATTTCATAAAACTAATTGAACATTTTCATTATCACCGGAAGTACTGTACACTTACATGTAACAAATGTATCAAATGAATTGATATTGCTGGATTTGGTTGATTCGGCGTCCATTTTATTTGATGTGTGCAATGCTTATGTGGAACCCTGTTTAATGGTTTCATTGGTACCGGAAGTGACATGTTTAGGGTAACATGGCACCAGTGAAACCCGTCATTACTGCATCGGAGTTCTAGTTATTATTATGTTTGGTAAAAGCGGCGAAACCCCAAGCAATTTTAGACTTATTTCATTCAGCGTTTGCGATACCGCTACATCATATTTATGGGCCAGGATTTCTGATCGGTACTTTGAATGCATACGGCTTTTGTACCTCTTATTTGAAATTAAAGCAGCAATGATGTAATAATACCGGACTTCATTGTTTTTGTTTCCTTTGTGATCGTAAAATAAAACTACAGGTTAGTTCGTTTCTACAGCTTTACTATTAAACTGCTTACAAGGCTTCTATGTTCCACATTCTCAATAAAGCATTGATGATACAGTACACTTCAAGTGGAAGTACTAAATTTCCCAGAGGTCCGACCTGGGCGGAAATGAAAAATAGCGGACTAGTGAACCCCTCTCTGTGATAATATTTTTAATTTGGCACACAAATCATCCCTTATAACTAACGCATGCTTTTTTGTTAGGCAATTTCCTTTGTTCTGTTTGATGTTCACTCTTTGATCAGTTACTATTAATCTAAGTTCTGTCCGGACAAGATCCCATTCATAAGATCTGGTTGTTAGGTGTTTTATTAAAGGTTCTTCGATATGTTCATTGATAATTATTGGAAAGAAACCGAACCGGATAATTATTTAGGATATTTATCGTCAACTGTATAAATACGGTAAGCAGTTTGTGTGTTGCATTTATAAGTTAAAGTATAAAAAGAAATATTTGAAGGGGCTATTTAAGACATGATATTTTTAAGCCTTATACCTGTAACTGAAACGATTTGAAGTGTTGATCTGTTTTGCAATGTGGGGAATGGGGAATCTGTAAAGTCAAATACGAAACTGAAATAAGTAAACAATCTTCCAGCTTCTATCCAATATGACTTTTAATTTTGGGGACATAAAGTACATGTATATATTGAACGTTGGGAGCCGAATCGTCATTTTAATTGAATTACCGTTAAAGGAGAAAATATTCCTTCCTAGCAATTTATGCTAATTCGTTTATTTCTACGAATATCGTTAAATTGTTGTTCATAATTAAAACGGATAATAAATCAGTATATAAAAAAACAGCATATTTTAAAACATCCACGTGCAAATCGCTACCTTCTATATATGTTTATTGTCGTCCATTTTCAGACATTGTTATCAGAATTCACGAAACATGGTTTCATTGTCTGCTTGTCGGATCAACTAATGACATGGAAAATTGCTATGTGTATGTGCTTTATGGTGTGATTCACGAATTAAATATCGATGTAGATGCACATTATAAATGAATAGAACATAACGGACATTTTAGGATATGAATACAATAATACATTGGTACACTTTAGTTAATAATCAAAACGGAATTTGAAAAGAGTATTATGAATATATGAATTGCTGGTGAACTAAAACGACTAATATACTCGTGATATCGTTCCATTAAATATTTGTTTCTTTCTAATAACGTTGTGGCAATATGGACTAAATTACTCTGACTATTTCAAATCACTATGGACTATAATCCGCCGCGAATTTGATATTTCCACCGACTATAATCCGCCGCGAATTTCATATTTTCGTGGGCGATAATCCACCGCGATTTTTATATTTTCGCGGACTTTTTTCCGCCCAGAACGTCTCTAATTCCGCGGAGTGTATATGGGTAAAACACCGCAATTTTTGAGCGTAAAAAACGCCCACAAGGACTCTTTTCATACTTCCGCTCGAAGTGTACTGTAGCTGCTATGAATATCAGGGTGAGTTCTGCTCAATTTCACACAACACCCTCTTGTATAACCCACTAATTTCTGCACGTTATAGACTGACCTAGGCCTTCATTTCCTTCCCAAATATGGAATAAGCACCCCCATTCTCCCAAAACCAGGGGGAGAACTTTACCTTATTTGGTCTATTAACCAAATGTCATAAACAGTTAGAATTTGATGGATATTTTGACAATGGTAGGGATTTTACCAAAATATCGCTGTTTTTTTTAAATGTATATAAAAATATTATTCATCTTTATTAGTACGTAGGATTTGACTCTACAGAATGTAATATCCAATAATTAGTTAAAGGACCAAGTTATTACATTGACCGGCCTTCTAGAGATACATGGACAGAAGCTCCAGAACTAGACCCGCCAAGTTTGTTAACTAATTCACCCGACGCCAACTTAAAGATTGAAATTCATAGTCAACGATTCGCATGAACCTGAACCAATTGCATACTTGACACTACAGTCCCTGAAATCTTCAATAAAGAAGAATTGTTAGCAGAAGAATTGTACAGTCCATGATTGAAATCCAGGTCTATCAGAAACCAAGTAAAATATTCCTGTTAAAACCTTTACAAAGTGATGATATGTGTATAGATATTCAAGAAATATATGAATTGTTTGACAAGATGATACAAGTAATACATTTTCACCCTCTAAACTCAACCATCCGCGAAAAACTGGATGTTTATGGTTCCAATGGCGGCCATATTTGATTTATACTAATTTTTGGACGCATGATGTACAACGTCACTGTGGCATAATTTGGCAATGTTTTTCTGATTTTTTGGTAGCACTTACCTATCTACCCGTAATACATTTATACCCTCCAAACACATCCATTAACGATATATTGGATTTATGCTAATTGTTGACCGTATGACATTATAAGGAAGTCACCTGGCATTGTTTTTCTAGTTCTTTAGTAGCACTTTCCTATCTACTCGTAATACATAAATACATCCTCCAAACTCAACCATTCCCGAGATATCGGAGTTTTAAGTTTCAATGGCGGCCATATTGGATTTATGCAAATTGTTGGCCGTATGATGGTATGAAGTAACAGGGACGTCATTTTGCTTGGGACGTCATTTTGCTTTGTTTTTCTGAGCCATCTGTACCACTTTCCTATCTACCCGTAATACATTTACACCCTCCAAACTCATCCATTCCCGAGATATTGGAGTTTTAAGGTGCCAATGGCGGCCATATTGGATTTATGCTAATTACTCGAAAACCTATCTTTTTATTTTGGGCGATTTTTGTTTGGGGGACCTTCAGGGAACCCTCTACCAGATTCCATCGAGAAAAATTCTGTTGCAATTTATTCTAGGTATCCACTCCATATGGCTTATCTTTACCCGACTATTACCCTATGCAGAAAATGCTCATCCTCAAACTTTAGTTAAGATATTCACATAATGAACAACTACATCAAGACAACATTGAACTCTGTCAAAAAATTCACCTAATGAACCTCAACACTAACCTTAAGCATTCTTCTTCACTTAAAAGCAGAGTTATGTCCTAAAGTCTTGACCAATGAAATCATTCCCTTCATTTAGAAGCAGAGCTATTATGTCCTAAAATTGGTTATCTCTTTTAAGCCTAAGCAGAAAATGCTCATCATCGAACCATGGACCTTGTATAGATGGGCAGGCAACGCCCACGAAGTTTTTAGAATTCTGTGCCGCGGCAAAAGAGAGACCTGACAATCGTGACTAAAATAAAATTACCTCCCCTCGCGCAATTACCAGTATTAAGTTTAAAAGCAAAGAAACAGAAATCAATTCATAGTATTTTTATTAAGCTTGCTACTCTTTTTTTTTTTAACCCATACATAGATAGACTACTAACTGATGATTGGGGTGTAAATGTATCAACACGTCGTCTTTGTGAATCCGAAAAAAAACACGTCAAGTTTTTCTTAAAAACAAATCTACTAAAACATTCTTTTAATTTTTACTTTTGCACAATTAATCACCATTCTGGACAGTATTATACCTGAACTTTATTTTCATAACTTTAAAATCCTTCATACATACGGGAATTTGGAGTATTAAGCAAAACCCAAATGCTTACAAAACCCACAAAAATAATGAAATCGATAATTTCACAATTTTCAACTGCTGCATTTGGAAATTTTAAAGTTTTAAACTGGACAAATTCGTCACTACCGGATAGGAATACTTATCGGGTTGAAAAATTACTGTGTAACTATAAGAATACCGTAAATTCCAAGGCGGAGGTCGAGAAATTAATCAGTATAAAATCCCGCAATGTCAAAAACACATCGCTTGATTTCCTGTTGACATTGAGATCTTGTCGTGTCTAGCGCGAGCGGCAGAGAATCCAACAAAAGGGACTCGTTGCCTGTCCATCTATACACGGTCCATGATCGAATTGAGTCAATGCATTCACCTATTGAACAACTGCACCAAATCTGAACATTGTATCTCAATAAGAAGGAGAGTTACTGTGTCTTGGAAAGAAGGTGGGGGACAATTAATGATGTTAGGAGAGTAGCTTACAGTTTCCCACACTGTTGCATCTTTATCACCTATGTTGGTGCTATCTACTGTTGTCTGTAATTTTCTTTTCTTTCGTGGGCTACTTGACTCGTCATCTCCATCACTATATGAAATATTTTCCTCCGGCACCGAGATTCTTCCTTTCTTTGCTGGATTAGACTTAGGCATAGGTGGATAGGGTTCTCATGAAAGTAAATACATTAAAAGCTTAAAAGATATACATTGTACATGCCTCATTTAAAACTATGCAAAGCATGGAAATACGCCCACACAACAGCTTATCTGAAAGGAACACTTGGATATTGATCAAATTCAATAAGGATCCAGGACCCTTCAATTAATCTATTCTTGGTCATGCTCACAAATTTTTCCAGACAAATCATAAATCTCTGTAACATAAAATCTTAAATTGCTGATGATTCAATAGGATTACTCCTCTCACAGACCCAATGCTTAGCAGAACATTGAATATTGATAGGGTTCATCCTCTTATGACCCCAATTATTCAAACCAAATAAGTTGATAGGTAGCCCCTAAAACCAGTGAAGATAGACAAACTCCTAGTAGGTTGATAAGCTAATTTATTTGCAGACGTTTCGGACTTAAGGTGTCCTTCCTCAGTAATGAGTTTGATGGAGCGAATCAGATTATTCAGGAATGGTGAATGTGCCAATTAATGAAATTTAGATTTGATTCTAAAATTAAATTTTTGAGAAATATTATAGATACCGCTCGATTCGCGGTGACATGAGAAGGACGATATGCATATAATAATAGGGTGATTTTTAGAGTGATTAACAAATCAAAAATATATATATAGTTATTTGAACTAAAAAAATAAATATAAACAATAAAGTTCTTAATTTTAACTGGAAAGATTCTCTGCATTATTCAAAACGTAATCTTATATTCTTGGAGTATTGAGTTAAAGTCCAAGTCATGGTAATCAGCGGCTATCACATCATGATCTGAAGGGATCAGTTGTAGAGATGTGCTGGTGCTGGGTGTTGTGACTTGATCTTCGGTGCTGTTTTCTGAGATGTTGGTGATGTTAAAAAGGAAATCTTCGAAATGTACGGATGTGTCGTTGTTGGGTTGAACCGGACTTATGGTGATTGCCGTGGCCTCAGTATTTGAAAAAGATACGGGAGGTCGCACACTCGCCTCAAATGGGGGGACCCATTGACTTGGCTTTTCCAGCACACAAGGTGGAGGTATGTGGTGCTGATTTTTTTCAATCAAACGGTCCGTTGTGTAATTTTTCTTGATTTCTAGGATTTTAGCCGTGCTGAATTCATGGTCTTTCTTCAGATGTCGATACAGGTTGGAACGCCATCTGTAGCGGCGGCCGCATTCTGAACATTGATGAATTGGCATTTTCGATAAATTTTTTTAGTCAGGTGTGCTCATTAATTCCTCCTGGTTGGCTTGTTCCTAAGTATTGAATCAGGCTTTCTTCTTGTCTCAGCCGTTTGTTTAAATTCTGTGATGCGTAGTTAGAATGATGATGTCAGGTTTGTGATTGGATTCCTGGAAATGGTTGCTGACCGGGGTCTCCTTATACCTTCTTATGTCGCTGAGGTGATTAAGAAATCTTTTTTTACAATTATCGCTGGTTTGGCCGATATATTGCTTGCCGCAAAAAGAGCAAATAATAGCGTAAATTACATAAGGGGTTAAGCAATTCAGATGTTCTTTGATTAAAAAAATATTGGAGTTTGTTTTCGATTTTATAAATGTGTTCTCCTTGAAGTGTCGGCATAATGTGCAGTTGCGTCCACATTTTTTACATCCTGCTGGTTTGTGTATGCGGAGGGCTATATCCGATTTGATCAGCATGTCACGTAAATTTTTATTACGTTGGTAGCAAACAACAATTTTTTAGTCCGCTATGAAGTTTGTTTCGACATTTAATTTAATTATATCGAGTTGATTGTTGATGAGTTTGTGGTGGTTGAATCCTGGGATATACTTGGTACTAAATACGATGGTGTCTTGAGTTTTCTTTTCTTTTTGGACTAATAGGTCTGCTCGCGGTTGAGATCTGGCTCGGTCAAAGCATGATGCTATAATATTTAGTAGGTATCCTCTGTTCAAAAAGTGTTTTCGATAAATTTTTAGTGAGTTGTCACGATTTTCGATCGTACTTGAAATGCGGCAAATTCTAAGGGCTTGACTGTATGGGAGGCTTCTTTTCAGGGATTCCGGATGGCAGCTGTTGTAATGTAAATAGAAAAAACTATCTTTGGGTTTTCGGGAGAGGCGGGTTTGAAGGCATTGGTTGTTGTCTAAATACAAAGTGACATCTATACTATTCAAAAAAAGTAGGGGATATTTGATTTTTAAGTGTTATTAAAGTCACCTAATGAAACTGACGAAGAAACAAATGACAAAATGAAATGAAATTCACATTCATCGATTTATTCCAAATGATCGTTAGACTAAGTAAGGCACAGACTGACCATTATAAGGGTAAAATGATACCCGGGGTCAAACAGCAAAGTTACCACAGCATCACAACCAAGTCAGTAACGGGTAAATCCTCCTCTGTTTGCCAAACAAGCATTGATCCGACGTGGCATACTCCTAATGAGACGTCTAAGGTCATTTTGGTCCAGATTGTCCCATTCCTGTTGCAACGCAGCAGCAAGTTCTTGGACATTGGCAGGACGTTGTTGACGTTGACGTAACCTCTGTCCAAGCATGTCCCAGACATGCTCGATGGGGGAGAGGTCGGGACTCAGTGCTGGCCAAGGTAATGTGGTGATGTTCTGTTGTTGGAGGTAACCTGTAACGATCCTGGCCCTGTGACATCTTGCGTTTTCATCCTGGAAGATGAAACGGCGGCCATGACGTCGTGCGAACGGCACAACATGGACTGCCAAGATGTTGTCCCGGTAGTACTGGCCTGTAACACGCCCTGCAACAACATGTAAAGCCGTTCTTCCAACAACAGTGATGCCTCCCCAACACCATAACAGAACTACCCCCAAATCGATCATGTCTGATGACGTTAACGTCTTGGAAGCGCTCGTTTGGACGACGCCACACCCTCCTACGTCTGTCCAAAAAAATCAACAGTGAACCTTGACTCATCTGAAAACATCACATTGCTCCAGCGTCGATTATCCCAGTGTTGACGATCCCTACACCAACGACGTCTTGACTGAATGTGATGATCTCTCAAACAAGGGATCACACGAGGACGTCGGGCGCGAAGGTGACCCCTATGCAGTCGAATCCGAATTGTCTGTCCACTCACTCTCACACCAGTGTCTGTTTGAAGACAAGCGCTGATCTGATTTGCTGTGATGACACGATTTCTCAAGGCCAAGGTACGGATAAATCGATCCTGGGCTTGAGTTGTCGCCCTTGGTCGACCTGAGCGTGGTCTGTCCTGTACAGATTGTGTATCACGGTATCTGGACCATAGCCTGCTTATGACAGACTGAGAAACATTCATCGTCCGCGCCACAACCGCCTGTGTTGTGCCGATCTGTAGCATGCCAAGGGCACGTAACCTTTCATTTTGGGTAAGCCGACGCATATCAAAATTTGTTTTCTGGTCACTAAAACAATTAAACTGATGTTTCCACCCTGGAATTCAATGCCACAATGACTGTAACATTCAAAGTCAGAGTCGTGCAAATCTTGGGTTGGACCCCCATGATGATCCCAAGCATCACCTGCATTCCATGCGGTAGCTATTGGTGCGTTTGGGCGTCACATGTAACTGGAAATGTTTCTTCTGTTAGGTTCTATAGTGACTTTTTTCGTAGTCATTTGCATATTTTAGTATTATGCCCCCAAAATCAAATATCCCCTACTTTTTTTGAATAGTATAGAAAGTTGATACTTTTAAGGCTGTGTTCTAGGGTTAATTTGATGCTTGGTATTGTAGAGTTGGTAACTTCCATGAATCTATTGATTTTCTCTAGTGTGGAAGGCCACAAGAAAAACATATCATCAATATATCTCCATCAGACGAGAGGTTAGATGGGGCTTCTTTTAAGTATATCTTCTTCGAATTGGGTCATGAATATACAAGCATGTTAGGGGCCGCTTTGGTCCCCATTGAAATGCCGTTGGTTTGAAGGTAGAATTTATCATCAAATTTGTAGCAGTTTTTTGTTAAAATTAAATGGAGCGTACCTAATAGCAACCAGGTGGGTGTAGTTTGTTCTAGTCTTTGCTGAAGTTTTTCTCTGCAACTCTTAATGGCTAGATTGAATGGGATGGAGGTGTAGAGCAAGGATACATCAGCTGTACACAGTATAGTATCGGGTGGTAGGGGGCCGATTGCGTTGAGTTTCCTGAGAAAGTCTGTGGTGTCCTTAATATAGGAAATTGACTCTAGCATGTAGAAGATTGGTGTTCTGGGGTGTTTTACTTCAAGCGCTTTGGCGGATCTTTTGTCCAAAGTTCCTTGTTTTTCTGCAAACTTGATCAATTTGTGGATTTCTTTGTTGAACGATTGAGTTTTATAAAACTCACGGTTATTTAGCTGCCGGAGTCCTTCATTGAAATAATCAATACGGTTAAGGATAATGATTTTGCCGCCTTTGTCAGCGGGTTTGATGACAATGTCTGTGTTTTCTTTTAATTTTTTTAGGGCTGTTGTAATCTTTTGGTTGATGATGATTTCATGACTAGTGACATGAATGAATCTCTCTATGGCGTGAGAGTGGTTTATAGATGGGGTACAGTCTGATTCTAAGTAGATAGGGTTTTTGGAGGAGCGAGGGGGGTAATCCTTAAAGAAATGTAGCAAGCGTAAACTTCTTTCCAAAATATTGTTTTCCATAATAGTGCCAATTTCATTTTTGTAGCGAGGGGTTGGTATAAAGTTTAATCCATAGGCAAGGGCTGTGAGGTGGGTATCTGAAAGGGGACTGTGGGCTAAGTTAGTTATTAGTTCGTGGAGTTCTGGCATCGTTTCTTGTTTTCTCTGGAATCTTCTGGGCATTGTTTCGTGTTTTAGGTTTGGACTTTAATTCCGTGATTAGTTTCTCGACGAGGTCTAATAAATTCTTCTTGGATTCTTCTGTGGCGGTGCTTTGATTGATATCTTCCAGAACTTGTTTGATGTCTTTGTTTAGTTCTTCGTAGAAATGTGGCCAATAAGATAATAGGATTTCAGTGAGTTTTTTGGCAAAAGATTGGTGAGTGGTTTCCCACTGGATCAAGAAATGGGTAGGGAAGGTGGGTGTTTGTGGCTTGACTTTGTTCTGATTGAGGCCTTTTGGTATAAAATTATCAGTCATGCACTTGGATAGAAAATCGATGTGATTAGTGCATTTAAATTCGCTGATTCAGAGTCGGCGTTGAGCTCGAAAGTAAGGGACCAAAAGGTCAGGTAGGCATGCGTTAGAAGGTATAGTGGTAGCCGAGAAAAATCTTGAATAATCTTGATCACTCCCAGATGATCATGATTAATCCAATTCACTCACCACCATTCCTGAATAATCTGATTACGTCACAATCAATTCTTATAAATACTGCACGCTTCGCTCCATCAAACTCTTTAATTATGACCCTTTTATTTTAAGCAATAATTAATGCCAGGAACTGTTTTACATCATAAGAAAAACTATCTTTTAGTCTTATATAATTTCAAAAGTTTCCAAATAATCCGTTATGTGTATACTATGTAACAAGATCAATCAACTCGATGTACATTATGTAATACCATTTCATGTCACTATGCAAATAAGTTCCTATATGAATATCATAACAATTAAGGTGTTTTTTCAACATTCACTTTAAGCTCTTTGATGTCCAGATGACATATCTTATGGCTTCACCCATCATCTATGTTTCATGTTTTCATTAATTCCTCTTTACCCTTTATCCGCTGTTGTTACTATACTATGTGCTATCATAATTAATCTTAGCATACTTAATTTGATAACCCAATCAAGCTAGGGTTTCATGATTGTTAACTTATGGTTTCTCTTATCATTGTTCAATGTACGTACATGTATATATAACACTGTCACAATTTTTTCCTCATTTGTAAAATGTATGCTTGATAACGACCAGTGAATTCTTGTTGAAACGTCGTGTGTATATAATATAGTGATTGTTATCCATAGAACTGTGTTGTGTTAAATCCAAAAGTTATGGTCTGAAATGCGCAAATATCAAAAGGGACTTAGATCTTTGGGATATAAAGATATGTTTTAAGTTTCATCAGAATATGATAAAGATAGGTTGCCAGGCAACGAAACATACGCCCACAGCAGCTAAATCGTCCGGGCAGTCAACAAGTGTTGTCGCATATTTTTACTTTTTTTGGTAATGAAACATTTATAATACACTAAAATCTGATTAAGAGTAACAACTCATGAAGTAATTATCAGAAAATCATTAGAATTTGTTTGTTTTTTATAAAGTTCTGCCCCATGCTAACATTTAGTATACAAAACTTTTAATATCATGGAATTAGCTGTTCAAGTCATAAAAATTTACTTGTTCGTACCAAGATCTTAAACTCTGTGTATCAATCTGAAGTCAATCGGATGGTAACTTTAGCCTTTAGAGCGTCACAAGATTTTTCAAAGTGATCAAGGGCCATAACTTTGGCAGTAATTATCGGAAATCTTTGAAAATCAGTAGGATTTTTCGTCTCATGACCTTAAACACTGTATAAATTTAAAGTCAATCAGATATTAACTTTTGCCTCTAGAGCATCCACAAGATTTTTCAAAGTGATCAAGGGCCATAACTCTGGCAGTAATTATCAAAAATCACTGAAAATGAATAGACTTCTTCGTCTCATGACCTTAAACACTGTGTATAATCAGATATTAACTTTAGCCTCTAGAGCGTCCACAAGATTTTTCAAAGTGATCAAGTGCCATAACTATGGCAGTAATTATCGTAAATTGCTGAAAATCAATAGGATTCTTCATCTCCTGACCTTAAACACTGTGTATAAATTTAAAGTCAATCGGATATTAACTTTGACCTCTAGAGCATCCACAAGATTTTTCAAAGCGATCAAGGGCCATACATGTAACTCTGGCAGTAATTATCGAAAATCGCTGAAAATGAATAGACTTCTTCGTCTCATGACCTTAAACACTCTGTATAAATTTAAAGTCAATCAGATATTAACTTTAGCCTCTAGAGCGTCCACAAGATTTTTTGAAGTGATCAAGGGCCATAACTCTGACAGTAATTATCGGAAATCGCTGAAAATCAATAGGCTTCTTCGTGGCCTTAAAACACTGTAAATAAATTTAAAGTCAATCGGATATTAAATTCAGCCTCTAGAGCGTCCACAGACGGACGGATGGACGGGGGCAACGACAATATACTTTTACACAATTTGCGTACAAAGAGCGGCCATTTTGTCGGGCAGTTTTATTTTGATTTTCCCGAAATTCGAATTCAACCTTCATTATGGTGGAATGGTGAAATATTTAAACGTTTTTTTAAAATCGGAAAAAATTTGTGACCTCTAGAGAATCTGCAAAACTAAAAATGCGATTTTTCGAACAATCAGGAGCCATAACCCAGGAAGTTACGTTCATATATCTGCGATTATCAAAAGGAACCAAGACCTTAGTGTGTAATGGTGATATATTCACATGTTTTTTAAATCGGATCAAAATTGTGTCCTCTACATGGACGGCAAGCTAAAAACGTGATTTATGTACGTTCGAGGGCCATAATTCAGAAAGTCCGAATATCGAAAGGAACCAAGATCTTTTGGTTATAAAAATGTATTTCAACTCTCATCAAAATCAGGTCAAAATTGTAAACTCTAGAGGGTCCACATTTTGTCCGGCAGTTTTGGCACGATTTTCACAAAATTCGAACTCAACCAAATTTACAGTGTAACAGTGATATATTTGAACGTTTTTTTTAAATTGGATAAAAACGCAATTTTTCGTACAATCAGGGGCCATAATCATACTATCCGATATGCGCAAATATCACCGAAAGGATCCAAGATCTATGGGTTATAAACTAACATTTCAAGTTTCATCAAAATCAGAAGAAATTTGTGACCTCTAGAGTTTCCACAACCTTGATATACCATATTTTTACGCTATTTGAGAACGAGGGGCGGCCATTTTGTCTGTCAGTTTTGGGCCGATTTTCACGAAATTCGAACTCAACCATCCTTAGAGTGTAACAGTGATATACTAAAACTTTTTTTAAATCGGATAAAAATTGTGAACTCTATAGGGTCCTCAAGCTAAAAACGCTATTTTCCGTACAATCAGGGGCCATAATTCAGGAAGTTACGGTCTGATATGCACGAATATCAAAATGAACCGAGATCTTTGGGTTATAAACTTACTTTTCAAGTTTCATCAAAACCAGAATAAACGTTTTTTTAAATCGGATAAAAATTGTGACCTCTATAATCCATGAAGTTACGGTAAAATACACAGGGGTCTAAATTCACGACAGCATCCACGGCAAATGTTGTAGTATTTAGCGAAATTGCTGTAGAAAAAAAATAATAACTACGGCATATTTAGCCGTGGTAATTTATTTAAGAATATCACGATGGCAATTTGCTGATTTTGACAATGAAATCGCTGTTGTCTACGTGAGTAATCCACGGAATAATCGAAAGTAGGAATTTATGGCGACCCTACTCCTTGTCACATACAACCGGGGAATTGAAACCACGCCAGTTGACTAAATGACAGACTTTATGATACAGCGTGCACACGCTTACCATTCAGCCATCCAGTCCCCCCCCCGCCCAACTCAATTAGAAGAAATGAAATGAAATGGAGTTTAACGTCCTACTGTTCTGCTCCTAACCTGGGCTTATGAAGACGGGCATACGCCATACAGTGTGCTATGAGGGAAATTTTGCCTGGACAGCGGCACTACGGCCTACTCTTATATCGAATTCCAACTGCCAAGGGATCTTTTACGTGCACGCCAATGTGTACACGGGACCTCGGTTTTTCGTCCCATCCGAACGACTAGACAGCTTTCCTTGTCAGCCCCTCCATCCTGCATCACTCAATTAGGAGAGTTATTGTGTTCCATAGTCTCGACCAATCAAATTGCTTATTGCTCTGCTTACCCTGAGCAGAAAATTAATGCCCATTATGGAACTTAGTCAAGGCATTGATGTAATAAAACTATACACCAAATTTCATCACTCTCACTTAATTAAAGCCAAAGTTATCGTGCAGCAAAGCATCAACCAATCAGATTGCTTATCTCTGCTTACCATAAGCAGACAATGTTTATCATCGAACTTTATCAAGGCAATGACCTAATAAACACCTACACCAAGTTTGAAAGTTCTAGCTCTATTAGAAGGGGAGTTATTGTGTTCCAAAGTCTTGGCCAATCAAATCGCTTATCGCTCTGCTTACCCTGAGCAGAAAATGCTCATTATCGAACTTAGTCAAGGTATTGATGTAATGAAACTATACACCAAGTTTCATCACCCTCACTTAATTAGAGCTAAAGTTATTGTGTCCCAAATCATCAACCAATCAAATTGCTTATCTCTGCTTACCCTAAGCAGAAAATGCTCATCTTCGAACTCCATCAAGGCATTGACCTAATGAACACATACACCAAGTTTGAAAATTTTAGCTCAATTAGAAGGAGAGTTGTGTCCCAAAAAGTGTGACGGACAGACAGACAGACGGAGGAACTCATTTTAATAGTCCCCTGCTTTCTTCGAAAGGCGGGGGACAAATATTACATGTTGGCAGAAAAAAAATATGAACATTTTTGTACATAAAAATTATCATCCATTTGGGCAGAAAAAAATTGAAAGACAGTGTAAGCCCTGCTGCAAACGAACCCATATTAAAAGACCCTTGCTTTAAATTTTAAATAATAGCACTTAACATTGAAAATATACTCACTTAGACCATCATGTTTATCTTCATCATCTGAAAGAGAATTGCCAACTACTTCTTCTCCACAAACCATTGGCATATCTATAGTACTGCGCACTGCTGGTAAGCTTAATATAGGCTCAAGTTTACCACTTCGTGAGTATGTGGTTATTTCATTATTAGTCACTTCCTTTTTACTGTTACCATCTTCCTCATCAGCTGTATTCAAAGATATTGTTTCAATTCCACGTTTTTTTCCAAAAATAGTAGTATAACAATGATCATGATGGGGTTGTGTTCTGTTTAGCAAGTCAATAATGAATTGTTCATTTTCCTCAATACGTCTTTCACGATCCCCTGTTGAATAGTCACTGGATTCAGCAACTGGTTTATTTTTTGATGTATAATTTGTATTGCTTTTTTCTGTGTCTGCAGTTGCCAAATTAGAGGATTTGTTTGCAAGTAGTTTTGGGGAGTTTGCTTTGTTTGGTGTAATTGTTTGAATGGTCCTAGATTTTGTAATGTGCATAGCATTTTCCTTTACATCATCTACATTGTTACTAACGAATTTAACAGCCACAATAACTGAATCTGAGTCATCTTCTTGACTACTTTGGCTGATTTTCTTTTTACTAGACTTGAGACATGTGAATTTAATTCCTTTCTTTATTTTTTTCTTATTTGTCGGACTGCCTGATGAACTTGTAGACTGTTGATTAGATCTTGACTTCTTGTTGGCTTCTGAAATATAGATTTGTTTTTAAAACAATATTTTATTCAAAGATAGCCAAGCAAAGCATAGAAATATGCTCATGCAATCATACACAGCAGCTTATCCGAAAAGAAAATATGGATGTTGAACAAATTTGATATGAATACTTTATGTCTTCAAGAAATCTGACCTCTGTCGGGTTCACAGGATTTTCTGTATAGGTAATATATCTCTGGAACAGAAAGTACTAGAATGCTAAAAATCAACATGACTCATGCTCTCTGATCTCAAATACGGTAGCCTCAACCCTGTCGACAAGGTTTAAGGAAAATCGTTCACAAGGGATAACTCTGGTACAAAAGGTTGCGTAATGCTGAATATCCATAGGGTTTTATCCTTCCATGAGCCCAATACTTCACACCAAAATTTGAAAATAATCTGTTAAAAAGCTATCACGTTCACAATCCCAAGCCAATAGTTAACAGACACACCAATGTGACAGTATAATACAACCGTGTAGTGAAATGGGAATCCAAATAAAAACAAGCAAACAGTGAGGCTGATGTCCCCCGCCGAAATCCCAAAATAAATAGATGACACATATTAATTAATAGCACATTTATTTTTAAGCAATCAAACTGATTATCAACTTTACACTAAGTTTCATCACTCTCTATCGGATAGAATCAAAGTTATCTTGTCCCAATGCATCGACCAATGAAATCATTGAACTCAGTCAAGACATTCAACTAATGAATATCTACACCAAGTTTAAAAATTCTACCTTAATTAAAAGCAGAGTTGTTATGTTCCAAAGTCTTGACCAATCAAATTGCTTATCGCTCCTTAGTTTACACAGAAAATTCATATCATCGAACTTAATCAAGGTAATGATATAATGAATCTATACTCTGCGTTTCATCACTTTCACTTAAAGATTCATTATGGGAGATTGTAATAGAGAGTTGGCCATTCTTGCTATAACAGTTCAAAAATAGATGATGAAAGAAGAATATATTGAAAATTTCAGTCAATTACTTTATTCTGAACACAGTTATCACCATTGTAATTTCTGACTAGAAATAGGAGTCAACTCTCTCTTCACCGTCTCCGAGAATGGCCGATCGTTTGATTGACAGGCGTTAACTCCACCTACATAATCTCGATTATCAAGTAATGTTTTCAATGGCTGTGATACAATGGGACTGCAATTCAACTGGGGTGATATTAGCTGTGATTTTTATCAATTTCCATAATTTTTCTAAAAAAAGCGAGTGACAAAAGAGCGTATAATACCTGTAGTGTCTGATGAATATGTATGTAATCCATATAAGGTTACTTATTAATCACGTGATCACTATTTCAATTGTTGTACCCCTCTATTGTTAATTGGAGTTTCGTGTATAAGATTAATAAAACGTGGTTGATTAGATTCGTATGTGTGTGTGTTTAATCTGAGTTAAATCCGATGCAATCATTGAGATATATGGCCGGGGAGATATAACCATATTGACATCCAAACTCTCATTTTAACCACAACTAAACATAATATAAAGGCCGTATGTCGAACTTTCAATCAAATTGACAGACATGCGGCCTCGCTCAACAGCAGCCTCGCTTTGTACGCTCTATCATTTAGCCTCGATCATCACTGCCTTTTATGGAAAATTTCTGGGAGTATGATGTCAACGTAACGGTTAATCTCCGCTTAAGACGCCATTTGAAAATTTAATCAATCAATGAAATCCTATTTGAAATTCTATTTAAATCCAAGCCAAATCCATGTCATCCGTGGGTCTACAGAGTTGATTTTGGGCTTGTTGTGTAAATAAAGATCTAATTTATAATTTCTATGACATCCGAAGCCTAAATAAAGACTTAAAATATGCTGATTTACCTCTAAACTAAAGTTATCGTGCCCCAAAGCATCAATCAATCAGATTGCTTATCTCTGCTTACCGTAAGCAGACAATGTTCATCAAAGAACTCCATCAAGGCATTCACTTAACGAACACCTACACCAAGTTTGAACATTCTAGATCATTTAGAAGGAGAGTAATTGTGTTTCAAAGTCTCGGACAATCAAATTGCTTATCAGTCTGCTTACCCTGAGCAGAAAATGCTCATTATCGAACTTAGTCATGGTATTGATGTGATACAATGAAACTATACACCAAGTTTCATCACTCTCACTTAATTAGAACTAAAGTTATCGTGTCCCAAAGCATCAACCAATCAAATAGCTTATCTCTGCTTACCCAAAGCAGAAAATGCTCATCTTCGAACTCCATTAAGGCATTGACCTAATAAACACCTATACCAAGTTTGAACTTTCTAGCTCAATTAAAGAGAGAGTTATTGTGTCCCGAAAAGTGTGACGGACAGACAGACGGACGGACGGACAAACAGACGGACGAACCCATTTTAATAGTCCCCTGCTTTCTTCGAAAGATGGGGGACAATAAAGAAATATTTTAGAGTACAGTCCTCGAAATTAAGAATTTTCTACTATGACACAAACCAGCGGACGCCAAGAGATGGATAGAGAACAAGCTAAAATTTTCATTCAATCAGGGGCAATAATCCAGGAAGTTATATCTGAAATTTGTGAATATTGAAATGATATATTTTAAGTGAAACAAGAGCCATAACTCTAGAGGTAATTAATGAAAATTGGGGGCATTTACAATACAATTTCATGTAGATCAGAACATAATTTTTGTCGTTTGAGGGTTCACAAGGTTCTACAAACTGAAACAAGGGCCTTCACTCTGGAAGTAATTTACAGAAAATTTTGAAATTTGATATAGCCTACAGTAAACTTTGCATAAGTCGGATCTAAGTGGACTGACCAATTTTATCCGAGTTAAAAGAGCTAAATCGCTAATAATTGGGACCTAGAAATTGACCCAAATGTGTCGCAACGCATATAATAATGTAATCTGATTGTATATAAACTGATTTACATTCAATTGTTTCAGTTTTGACTCTAATTTCCAACTGACAGTGAAATTCTGAACATACTGCCGATCTGACTTAGTGGAAGGAAAAAAGCCGGAATTAGATCAAATGGACCGAACATTTTGATCCGAGTTGAGCAAAGATCTGGCTTAGGAAATCCGTCTTACGCGAAGAAATTTAATCAGAAAAACGTGCAGGATCAAAGGGTCCAAACGATTTTATACGAATCCAAATAATGCAAGGTTTACTTTAAATTTCATACAAATTGGATGATAACTTTTGTCATTCGAATGTTCACAAGGTTCAAAAAGTAAAAAAAGGGCCATAACTCTAGAAATAATAAATGGAAATTGCAAAAAATTCAATAGAACTAAGTTTCACGAATTTAAATGATGCATATAAATTTCATACATATCTGATGATAACTTTCATTAATAGAGCATTAACAAGGTTGAACAAAGTGAAACAAGGGCCATAACTCAGGAAGTATTATTGTAAATTGCTGAAATTTAATAGGCTTTGTGGTTTCACAAATCTAAATGATGTATAAAAATTTCATACAGATTGGCTGATAACTTTTGGCATTAGAGTGATCATAATGTTCAAAAAAAAGTGAAACAAGAGCCATAACTCTAGAGGTAATTAATGAAAATTGGGGGCATTTACAATACAATTTCATGTAGATCAGAACATAATTTTTGTCGTTTGAGGGTTCACAAGGTTCTACAAACTGAAACAAGGGCCTTCACTCTGGAAGTAATTTACAGAAAATTTTGAAATTTGATATAGCCTACAGTAAACTTTGCATAAGTCGGATCTAAGTGGACTGACCAATTTTATCCGAGTTAAAAGAGCTAAATCGCTAATAATTGGGACCTAGAAATTGACCCAAATGTGTCGCAACGCATATAATAATGTAATCTGATTGTATATAAACTGATTTACATTCAATTGTTTCAGTTTTGACTCTAATTTCCAATCAGTTATGTCCAGTGAAATACAGCATGAGATTCAACCAAATGCCAATTTATAGCGTCTGGTTATTCCAGTCTATGCGCATGCTCTCCAGATAAGATATGGCTTTACCGTTTGACATGAGTTGTTGAATATGTTTAGCCTCGTTCTTTCTAGTCACTTGTTACAAGTGACACTGAAACGCACTATGGTACACGATTCGTGTACCAATGGTAAAACGTTTATTTTGTCTTGGATATTGGATATCAGAAGCCTACCCTTTCCCGGTAAGATTAATGGGTAAGACTTTGGATGATATTGAGTTAAGAGACTTAGCTACTCTAAGCAAAGATCTGAGTTAGCCGAAGACCGAAATTCAATCTTAGCTCGATTAGAAATTAACTGCAAGAGCCGGATAATAACTGATTCAAAGGCACATTTCAAGCTTTTGTTCGTATGTGCGAGTAAATAACTTCTGTTTTGGTGTGAGTTAAGCGAAGATCCAAGTTAGCCGAAGACCTAAATTCAATCTTAGCTCCATTAGAAATAAACTGGAATAGCCGGATAATAATTGATTCAAAGGCACATTTCAAGCTTTTGTTCGTATGTACAAGTAGATAACTTCCGTTTTGGTGCGAGTAGATAACTTCCGTTTTGTCGCCATCTTTGAAAAATGTCCTAAATTTTCCCGGTAAGTGTCTCGTACAGCAGACAGCGAGTTTCGAATTTTTCGAAAAAATTCTATTGTTGCGTCGTGTCAAATACGCTGATTTGAGTCAAAATGATAGAGGAAAGTATTTTGGGGCTCTGTGCATGGAATACCAAATCAAGTTTTAGACCATCGGGACGAAACTGACAGTGAAATTCTGAACATACTGCCGATCTGACTTAGTGGAAGGAAAAAAGCCGGAATTAGATCAAATGGACCGAACATTTTGATCCGAGTTGAGCAAAGATCTGGCTTAGGAAATCCGTCTTACGCGAAGAAATTTAATCAGAAAAACGTGCAGGATCAAAGGGTCCAAACGATTTTATACGAATCCAAATTATGCAAGGTTTACTTTAAATTTCATACAAATTGGATGATAACTTTTGTTATTCGAATGTTCACAAG